GATGTGTTTGCAGATGGATATTTCATAATTGTTGCTAATGAACAAGTTTCTGGATGTTCAAGTCTTTGAATTTGTTTATATAATTCTTGATTTTCTTTTTCAAGCTGTACAAGTTTAGAATTTCTTGTAAAATAGTTATGTTTAGATTCAAAAGATACTGAATTTAATTTTTCAGTTAGTAATGATAGTGCCAAACAGTCTGGATTAATAATATTAGAATTTCAAGGACAGATACCAGTTGCTGTATAAGCATTTTTAATTGCAGAAGAAGTATAAGTTTTATAAAATACTTCACTAAAAACTTGTACAAACGAATACTTTGTAACTTGTCTTTGGTTGTTAATAAATCTATAATTATTTGAGGCTTTGTCAAATTCGATCTTAAGCTTTTTAAACGGTATTTCAGAAGGTTGAAGGAGGTGAGTTGTGTCTGATAGTAAAATATATAATAAAATATTATTATCTCAACAATAATTAATATTAATTAAATCGATATGACTACTATGTCCGTCAAGCATGAGTAAAACTGGTCTTGCAGGTGGAATTGATTTGTTAAAATATTCAATATACATTATAAAAATATCCTTATGTATATAACCTGTATCTGTAAATCCAGCAACTGTACTAGGTGGAACTGATGATCCTAATAATAATCTTTCAATAATGTTAACTCCTTTGTAAACAAGTAAGGGTGAAATGTAAGTACCTGCACCAGAAATTGTAGAACAAACTAAAATATGTTCATTTGAGTTTTTAGCAGCAGTTTTGTGAATCTGACGGAAATTTTTTTGAGCTAGAACCTTCTGTAACCAACCAGAAATATTAAACCCTGATTCGTTCATGTTCCAGATTTTATTAGCTATTAAAGAATATTCATCAATAATCTTTTTTAATTTTACAAAGTGATCTTTAAGAATCATGAGATTTTCTTTCATAACACAAGCTTTTGAAAGCTCCTGGGGAATGTAAAATGAAAGCTGTGGATGTTTCTTTATAAATCGGTTTCACCATTTTCTATCAGGAGAACTATTAAATAGATGATCCTGATTTTTGGCTTTAAGAATTTGTATAATCATCGTATTGACAGCTTCTTTAATAAGCCCAAACCTGATTTTCTGCATATTTAAACAGTATCTAGCAATTTCAGCTCCCTCTTTAGCTGTAAGTATAGTAGGGGGCCATGGCGGTTTGGAACTCCACCTCTTGCTATAGCATCACATAATATTTGGTCTGCAACACCAAACTCAATAGAAACTCTGTGAATACTTAAAGGTAAGACTAAGTTAGTCTCTTGTTTTTTTAAAAATTCTAGTGCTGCATGAATTGAAGCTTGGTAAGAAGTTTCTGGTCATTGATACTGAATTTGCTGGGAAACTTCTTGATACTGGTCTTGTTGGAGCTGCGAAGCTTCTTGGTACTGGTCTTGTTAGAGTTGCGAAGCTTCTTGGTACTGGTCTTGCTAGAGCTGAGAAGTTTCTTGATACTGGTCTTGCTAGAGCTGAGAATCTCCTTAGTACTGGTCTTGCTCAGGTTGTTTGGTAAAATACTTCTTTAAATGATATTCTTCGTGAAAAAAAAAACAATTAGTGTACACAGTGTTTTGAATTGTACTACCAATAAAACTTTAAATACTAATTTACATTGCCAGAAATCTAATACAATAAATTCAACGATAAGTTTTTTTTTATTTTTTTTTTATTTCAAAATTTTTTTTTTTTTGAAGTAGCTTTAAACTAATATAGCTTTTTTTTTAGTATCTGATATAAAATCATTTTAATATAAGGCGAATTTGATAAAAAAAAGCTTGATAATTTAAAAAAATTTAAAAGTCGATCCATCTTATTGAAAAACTTAAATGGTAAGTATGATTTTATGATTATGCCGACAATCAAATTTGGTTCAAGATGACATATTCTAACTTATTTATTTGTATTCACATGAACTTTTTGACCAAAATTGTGCTTTACAGTATGTTGTAGCGAAAGGATAAAAGGTTTCTGACAATAGAATCATTTTTAAAAATAGGTACAACTACCTTATAGTACTAAATATGTTGGACAAGTATTAAATAAAAATTTAATAATATTGAATGTGCTGATATTTATAATATTAAAATTATTATAAAAAAGTATTATAAGTTATTTTTTATATATAAGAATATAGGAATATATATATAGAATAGAAATTTGCATATAAATTTCTAATATATAATTTTTGTTATATAAATAATATTGTTTAGAACTTTATAAAGCTGGTACACAAAGTCTAATAATTCTGTCAAAATTTTTGTAATATATTAATTAATGTAAAGTTATGTATGTATAATTTGTAATTTTATTAAATTTCATATAGATGGAAATCTTCAATTTTGTAATTAGTTTGTGATTAAATAAGTTAAATAATAAAATTAAATAGAATTTGAGCCAATAATATTATATAATACAGTATGATTACTAAAATTAAAAATGATTATTTGTTGGCAATTATAAAATTGCTTATGTATATTGCTTATAAATTACTTATTAGTTACTTATCTGTTTTTATAGTTAGTGTACCAAACAGATCAACTAAAAATAATCCTGAACTAATTGTTAGAATTTTAGATAGCTGTTTCACAAAATTTTTTCCACCCACTAAAATTTTGACCAATTAAAATTTAAGACCAGGTATAACATGATAATCAAAACAAAATTGTTTTGTTTTCTAAGTAAAAAAATACGTGTAAAATTAAATCTAAAAAAAAACTGCGTTATGGTTATAGTTCAGTCTAGGAATATACCATAAATGGATAATGACGATCACATCTTTTATAGAAATAGATCATCGATCAATTGATTCTGGAAATTTCTAAAGCATAATCCAAGAATGCCAATCAAATCAA